CGAGGATGATAAGAAAGAAGAGAATGTTAGTAAAAGAGGGAAGAAAGAAAAAATCACGGGTGATAAGAAGGAAGAGAATGTTAGCAAAAGAGGGAAGACTGAAAAAATCTTGGGTGATAAGAAAGAAGAGAAAGTTAGAAAAAGAGGGAAGAATGAAAAAATCTCGGGTGATAAGAATGAATCTATAACCAACAAGAAAGCTACGAAAAATGATTGTAACGCAGAAAATTCAGATAAGACTAAACTTACTAAAAAAAGACGAACAAAAAAAATAATAACAGAATAAAGTGTAGGAGAATGACTGCATCAAATTATTAAACACAATTCATGAAATATTATTTCTTAACAGTGAATATTTCGATAAGATTTGACGAAATGTTAATGTACAATTTATTCGATAAAGTAATACAAATAGAAAGAAATCCGTTTGACAATGAAGGGTGGCTTGATCAAGTCTATTCATCTCATCATCCTATCCATAGAATCCAACAATAAACTGCTTCAAGTACAATGGCCACTTCGATGCGATGAAAAGACTTTTTTTTAAAAAAAAAATATCTAGAACTCGGAATGTTTATAAATGAGAATATAACAATATAATAATAAATAATAAAAAAAAGATGATATATATTTTCGTTGAAAGTCACGTCAAAAAAAAGCTAATTGTAATTAGAACAAATGATTTGCTATGTGACTGCCGTTTTTTTTTTGGTGGTTCGTCTTTATAAAAACAAATTCGAAATTTATATGCTCACAGTTGGAAAGCATTCAAAGAGCAACTAGGTTAGTGCACGACCTGACACATGAAACAATATAATTTATATCATTCGAACAGTAGTGCAAACATCTTCTTTCCAGGGATTTTTTAACAAAACACGTGGAAAGAAAATATCTGTCGGAATGTGAAAAGATTTTTTCCTTTTTCCAATAACATACAAAATCACTTAAGAATTTCTAGTAATTAATACATGATTCTGTACATTATTGCCGTTGTTTGCGAAAACGTGATTTGCCGGCATGAGAGGCACGTTATTTGCAGGAATATATCCACCATCAGTTGGGGGATATAATGTCATAGTATTACCGTATGGCGGTGGTGGAGTGTGAGGCGGTAGCGGAACGTGACCATGCTTATATTGAATCTCCATTGCTTCGCGTTCACAGAATTCTGTGTAAAGAATATTGAAAGCTATGGAAGATATATGATCTTTGGCATCATTCTTCTGCCAAAACGCCAACTCGGGGGTAAAGACGCGACCGATTACCGTACAGTCATATAGGTAATTCCCCCTTCCATCATCTCTCAAGTTATAAACGGGATGACCGAGTCTGTGCATTTGACAAAATTCTAAAAGCATAACACAAGGTCTCTTTTGTTCTCCAGACATTTGTTTGTTGTACCATTGAGCTGATTTTGGTATAAGTTCTAGTGGATGTGGCGCACGCACTTGTTGCTGTCGAGAAGAAATCATTCCGTTATTGTTATTGTTAATATTGTTAATTCCGGTTCCACCAGATTTTTTGCTCCCATTTTTAGTCTTCTGAGAGGAGGAAATATGAGCGCGAACTAGTTCCGTACGAATTGGAGTGGTGATATCCGGCATCCTCTGGGAGAGATCTCTCATGGCAATACTGGCCACTTCCTCTTTCGCTGCTTGTTTTTTAGGCCTCGCAAGTTGATTTTGATAAGTTTGTCCGCAGAAATGAACCTGACAATAAAATTGACCAGTCACAGAATCGTGAGTGAAAGAGTATACGGGTGGTGCGGTCGTTTTTAATTTTTGATGCATAGTATTCAAAAAAGAAATAGGATTTATAAAGGGAGTATCAACGTCGGTTGACGCTAATTCTGGAGATGGAGGTCGGTCAACTGAATCATCGCTTTGATAACTGTTTCCAACATTGGAATCTACATCTTCTTGTTCGTTAGAATTAAGTCCACCCGATTCCTCATTAGTTTGATTTCTTGTAAAGGAATTGTTAATATTTCCTTCCTGAACCACCGAAGGATAAAGCGGTGAATTTTCGGTGGTAGACATGCTTATTCACAAAAAAAAAAAAAAAAAAAAAGATTAAAAAAAAAAAACCAGAAAACAAAAAAAATAGCTCAATAATTTACGCAAATAATTTCACTATCAGAGCGAAAGAATGTGAAAGAAAAAAAAAGGAAAAAAAAAAAAAATCTTTATTTCAAATGGAAAGAATGATCAGTTGCTCTGCTCTGCAGTGTAATTTTAAATGTGTATTTTGATTGGCTATCAAGTTCTTTGCACGTATAACAAATTCATATACGTGACTATTTCGATGACTACAATTTCATTTAACATACTTTTACAAACGAAACTTTGTATAATATTTAGTTCGGTTCCATTCAAATCAAACCCTTTATTAAAAGAAGGAATCCATCATTGAATTAAAAATTACAATGGATACATCTATCTCTAGAAACATCCAACCTTTTTCTAAGGATAAGTGGGAGGAGAATATAATACAGTGTGGCGGTTTATCAATTCGAGTACTTTTCTTGTAAACGATATCACAACCTGTTAACATGTAAACTGCGACCTCAAACTGTGTATGACGGAGGACGTGATTTTTCTGAATCCGAGGCGCCGATCCGACGGTCTGCTTTAAGTGAGACACCTCCGAACGTCCCAAGGAGCACATAAATAATTCCAATGACAAATACAAACCACCCAGGAACAATCATGAACTTGAATAGACTAAATGGATGTTGGTTTTTGTAAGACTAAAATAAAAAGCGAGTGAAACAACATTCTCGAAATGTTTACCTATAACCCAAGAACTTGAGGCTGTTTATTCCACTGTCATATCCAAGAATAAACGACCCGGTTCTATAGCCATGAGAATGGAAAAAGTAAAAGAACATATTATAAACGAGGGATCTTTGTACTCGGGAAAAGAATCCGTTCGCAACAAATAATAATACGCACATGATTTGCAAGAAACCAAGGAAAGTCCAAGAGTGAGAGTCATCTAACATCGGGAACCACTTAAAAATTCTTTTTGGCCAACCAATTTCGGCGAGTATTAACACCAATGCCTCTATGGCAATTACGATACGGTTGACGAATTGGAAAAAGGTATTGCTCTGACCAAGCCCGGGAAATCCTTTGACGTTTACTACTATACAAGTTGCGATGACCAGCATCAATGAAATGACAGAGAGTACACGAAGTACGTTTAGGAAAACGCAACGCAATTCCAGAGCCATTGAATTGATGTTTGTTAAAAAGAAATATATATAAAAGGAAAGGAAAGAAAAGAAAAGAAAAGAAAAGAAAAGAAAAGAAAGGTTGGAACGATTTCTAGAGCGAATTTACAAAAGGGTGACTTTTCAAAAGTGAGGAATTGTCATCTTCGAAATTTGAAGGTTATTTATACAAACAGATTTATTAACAAGGAAGTATAATTATGACCAACTACTGGGCAACAAAATTAGCTTTTCCATACACATGGACTTATGATCATCAATATCAACGTTTTGTCGAGTACATTCTTTCTTTATATTTCTTTGAAAGAATTTATTAACACTCCTGATGCGAAATGTTGTATTTACGTAACACCAATTTTGTTCGCAAAGACAACGTCTCTGCCGTTAATGTTTCAAAGAACAACAACTCCGATGAAACAATAATTCGAATTGTGTAACACTTTTTTAAAGTCCGAAAGTCGAGTCTTTATTCACGCACGTGACGTGCAATTGACCATGTGCGAATTAGTGAAACAATATACTGTATGTTATTTAAAATATAATTTTTTTTTTTTTTTTTTATCTTCTGTCAAGCTAATTATGTGTACTTTATTAAACATTAGTATATTATACATATTAAATGAGTTGCTAAAGTTAAACTTCTAATTAGCTTACTTTTCTTGATTATTATTACTCTAAAATACACAAATTGTTACAAAAATGAGCTAATTATATAAATAATTTTAATAAATAGTTAATAAATTTTTGACAAATTATTAATAAATTAATATTAAATTTTTTTATTACTAAATTTTTTATTATTCTTTTATTGCTGAAATAGTAATATATCAAGTAGCAGCAATTGAAAAGAATTCATTAATATTTTTATTGCTAAATTTAATTAAATTCAACAATAATTTAGTTATCAAATGATATAATTTTAACTAGTGTTACTATTAGAATTCTATAGTAGATATCAATTAATAAAAACAATACATAAATATATAGTATATATATATATTTTTTGAATACTTGTAGCCATACTAAATTGTTAGTTTATTAATCAATTAAAAATATAAGTATATTTTTATTTAAGCAGCATAATATATACTA